CCTCCTCAGGCGGCGCTGGCGGCGGCCCCGGGACCCGCGGAAGCCGGCATGCTGGAGAAATTCGAGTTGGAAGAAGAAGGTGAGTGCCCCCCGCCGGAACGCGCTCCGTGTCGTCGCCGAGGGGCCGGGCGCGGGGACCGCCGGGGTTCACGCCCCGGAGGCCGTGCGGCCCCCGGCTGCCTGGCGAGCACGGCCGGGGATGCAGACGCCGAGCCGGCACAAGGGACGTCTGCAGTGGCCCGCGGGTGCCGTTCGCGGGCTGGAATCCCAGCCGGGTTCGGGAGGGGAGCCGCGCAAGCCGGCCATCCGCACCGACACCGATGGGCGGCCCTTTTGTCCTTAACAGCCGAACTCGAAGGCGAGCAAGGTGTCATGCAGCATAATTGTTGTAATGCCTCGGTACACGTAGAGGTAACCCCCAAATTCTGTTGATGGCCCTTACCTTTAAATAACACCGACTGGTTCCCTTATCTGTGTTTCCGAAAATACCGCCAGCAGGGTGTGTCTGCTGGTTAATAGGGAAAGTTGAATAGGAACACCAGAAGCGGCTTAGTGCGTTGGTTTGGAGTTCAGGTGACCCTGTCACTCCCATCATTTCTGTCGCCTCTTCTCTCACTCGGCTTCTCCTTTTCCTGCCCTGTTTTCTTCTTACTTGCCTGGATCTTGTCTAGAAGCTGTTAAAATGTGAAGGGGCGAGTTTGCTCTCTAGCAAAATTAATATTTTAAAACGGAATAGATGAGAGTTCACCTGGATCTTATTTTGAAACTGTTAAAACTGGAAGGGGATAAGCTTGTTTTTTGGCAAAATTCACATTTGAAATGGAATATGATGAGCTCAAAGTCGAAAAAGAACTTCGTACAAGATGTTTGACAATTTGAGGCATTTGTTTTAAAAGAACCCCACACTGCCTGGCGTACTTGCGTTATTTACTTGGTGACTTGTCTTTTTGCTGAGAGTATTGACGGAATAAAGCTCCTGGAACAAAGAATGTGCCATGTGGATGCTGTGCCCTGTGCCAACTTTACTTTAATACTTGTGTTCATTTACAGTCAGGCGATCACTTAAATAAGCATTACACAGCCAACGATGAGAATGTTAACCAGAGAGTATTAGGCCAGTACCTACATTTATTTTATGTTTTGCATTCCCTGCAGCATTTCACAAATATGTTAGCTGGAAGATAATGCATGCGTGGTAATTATCGTTAAAAGTCTGTATCCGTATTTATTATTAACCAGCAGTTACACGATACATTTCAGAATTTTACTGGGACTTAATTTGCATTTTATCCTACTGAAAAGTAATCCAGTATCTTAAATCGAAGCCACCCCATTACTCATCAGTTCCGTGTGGCAGGTCAAATTTTGACCACTGTCCACAGGGCAATATGGTGTGTCTCCCTTTCAACTGACACTTTGAATGTCTAGACCATGGGGGTTTTCTTTGCCCCTGAGATCAGTAACGATGAGAGTCTATTGCATTTAAACCTTTTGCAGATTCACGTGGGGGCAAGAGGAAAGTGGAGAGCAGATGTGTTAGCAAGGTGCCCACGGTTATGGTTAAGAACACAGTCCCAGCTTCACGTCTTAGCTCCGTTTCTTATTCAGCTTTGTGACTTTGGACAAGTTACTGAACTCTTCTGTGCCTTACTTTCCCTTTTTATAAAATGGATCTAATGCTGGGGTGTGTTGAGGATTAAATGAGATAATTTGTGCAGTGGTAATACAGTGTAGACCCATAGTAAGTGCTCTGGCAATTATTTTTTAAGTGCCATTAACCACTTTACTGAATTCATGGACTTTTTAAGGCTTTTATTAATGAATCTTAAAATAGAGATTGTTCTCAACATGGATTTGATGGGGGGACGGTTTCTTACTTGAGATTTATTGATTTAATTATGTTGCTTTTCTCAAAGCCGATACACGAGCCTTGTTTCTTTTCATTATTTCTGTCAACATAATGAATGCGAAGTATTAAACCTAAGCATCTAAGAAAGGGGATTTCCTGTTTTCTCCCATCTATTTTTATCTATATTGCTGTCATTTAAAGCATACTGAATCCCACAAATAACCCTGTCAAACTTTTCTAGATTTTTAAGGAGGCAGAATGTTAAGCACTCGCTTGGAAGCCGTTAGCAGAGCTGGAAGAAGAAATAGTGTTGGCGTGGTTGTCTAAAATGCTGCTTTGTTTCTTTTGAACTTTATATTGCTTATTCATCCATGGTATGGAAAAACTGAATATCAAGCAGAATCTTACATTTATTTGGGGATGTGGGAGGGGTCCTAACAGTTTAAGCCATTACACCTTTAAATATTCTGTGAACTGATGTGCTAGCAGCCTACAGAATAGATAGCTATTGAATAGATCCTCATTAAATCTTTAAATTTCCTTCTTACCCAGTTAATGTCGTAACGTATGTATGCCTTGTGCTCTGAACACATTGCTTAGATGGAGATATATTTGCTATACACAGAAACACATGATGACTAATATTTTTGTTATCAAGTATTTTTCTATTTCCTAATAAATTATAATTGATACTATATTTCTTAGAAACGGGGGCACTGGTGAAGTCAGAGTCATCTCTTAAAACGTCATTTGCTTCTGGGAAGGAGGAAAAAGCTATACCACGATCCACCATGCCTGGTCAGGGTCATCTTCTGCCTGGGTTCTGACACCAGTGGCCTGCCCACTTTCTGCTGCCAACCCTTCTCCCTATTACACTCTGACGGAGGGACCACTCCTTTACGGGAAAATCTTTACCACTGTCTCCCGTCTATATATAGGATAAGTGCGTGCTTCTCTTCATCTGCAGCCTCACTGCCTCCTCCCGGCCATACACACCAGTGATCAGAGAGTGTTCTGTGCCAGAAATCACCAGAGATCTTTTTAAGAGGCAGATACTAATTCTGGGGGTCTGGGGGGGGAGGTGAGGGGGGACCTGAGAGTCTGGATTTCTGCCAGGCTTCCCGATGCTGCTGCTTCATAGACCCCTCTGTGAAGAACAAGGCTCTAGAACAGGCCTCGGCAAACTTCTGCAAAGGGCCAGATGGTCTCTGTCTCTGTCACGACTCCCCAGCTCGCCCGTGCAGCAGCTAGGCAGAAAGCCGTGGAAGACCAAACTCAATCCAACAGGCTACACTCCAGTGAAACTTTATTTAAAAAGCAGGCCGGTGGGGCGCCTGGGTGGCTCAGTCGGTTAAGCGTCTGCCTTCGGCTCAGGTCATGATCCCGGGATCCTAGGATTGAGCCGCACATCCGGCTCCCTGCTCAGCAGGGAGCCTGCTTCTCCCTCTGCCTGCCGTTCCCCCTGCTTGTGCTTCCTTTCTTTCTCTCTCCGTCAAATAAATTTAAAAAATCTTTTAAATAAATAAGTAAATTAAATACAAAGCAGGCCGGATTTGGCTCCCAGGTGTAGTTGGCCAGACCCCTGCTCTGTGTACCTCTCGTGGTCTCTGTGCGTTGGATGTCCCATCGTACTGCAGGCAAGACCTCCTCTTCCTCTGTCTCCATCCTGCCAGTCTCACTGGTGCATCACCGCTCTGCCCAGATCTTGCCCCCTCTTTGAGGCCGTCCCCCTAAATCCCTTCTGTGCCCCTTTCACAATCCGTCTTGCTGTTCCCCGTGCCTGAGATGGCTGGTGCATCGTAGGTGCTCAGCAGTGTTGGGACTCCTAGTGAGGACAGCATCTCTGTAAACGTTACTTTATGGGAGTGTCGGGAGGCCTCCATGGTTCCGCGTATGCAAAGTGATGAGAACAGTGCCTCACCCATAGCATTCACTGGATGTGTTTGCTTTTCCAATTTTTTTATTCACATGTCAATCATATTTAGATTTGTTTTTATCAAGATTAATTGTCTTGGACTTATTTGATGGCGGGACCAAGCACAAGTACTTCGTAGGGACCTAAACGCAACCCAGGAATGCTTTCCGAAGTAGATAAGTGCCAGCCGTTCACTCGTGCCTAGTAAATCTGTAATATTGGCACCGCTTCAAGACTTTAAGAGCCCCTCGGAGCTATGTGTGTTATCTCCCGGCTTTCCTCTTGTCCCTTCAGCTCTCACGGACTCTTCCCTGAGTTCAGGCTTTCAGGAGCTTGCTGTGGTGTCCCGTCCCACTTAGCTGGCTCTCCTGCCGGCTTCTCGCCTCCAAGCTCGCCGTCTGACTCCTCCCTGACCCCAGGCCGCTCTTGCTGTCCTCCTTCACCCTCACAGCATTTTCCAAAGCGTTACCTTTTCAGAACTCACCTCCAACTCATTTTTCTAGCAAGGCTGGTCAGCCGAGCCTACACGGATCAAAAGTAAGAAACAGGGGCTGCCTTTTTTAGGAGGGAAGGCGTTATTTTTCAGTCAAGAGTCTCAGAGTTTTAGGCCCCGTTTGGTAATGAAGTAGCTGCATCCTCAGATAAAATCCAGAGTCTCTTGGGGCTTTGCCGGCTTGTTTTGTTGCTGTTGCTGTTGTGAGTTTTCTGTCTAAAACAAGGCCTGGCACTTAGTGAACTTGAACTTTTCCTTCTAATTCAAAAATAGGGCCTAAAGCAACCACCAGCCACCCTATAAAGAGAACCAAAATTTTGTGCCCACTCAAACTCATTCATTCTGAGCTGGGGAGCAAAGTGAGCAAAGCTCGGTTCTTGTCAGGGGACAGAAGATCTTAGATGTTACAGTGGTTTGTGGCTCTCCAAAGGGCCACAGCACATGAACAGATACACAGAGTATCTGTGGTATTAAAGTTTCATGGGGGAGGGACAGATAAGAGGGAAAATGTATAAGAAGTTTCAGAGGGGGATTGGACGGTGAAAAAGTTTGAGAAACACTGCTCTGACTTCAGGGAGAATTGTCTGTGTTTTTGTGGTAACAGCAGAGCACCCCCGCACCCCCTTTATCACCAGCCCTAGGGCCGCCGCTCGGTGAGGCTCAGCTGGGTCCACTTCGTCGGCGCTGTCTGCTGATGTGAGGAGTGCTGACCTCTGGTGGTAGAGAGGCCCCTGTGACAGGCTTGTCCTCACCCCTCTGCCGCTCCTCCGTAATGATAAGATTATTATAGATTGTTGGAAGGCTCTGATAATCTATCATCCA